CGGGCGAGGCAGATCTAGACCTCGGACGTTGGGCGAAGCGGATCCAACCCTCGGATGTCTGGCGAGGCAGAGTCTGCCCTTAGATGTCGGGCGAGGGGGAGCCAGCCCCCGAACATCGGGCAAGGCAGAGCCAGTCCCCGAACGTCGGGCAAGGCGGAGCCAGTCCCCGAACGTCGGGCGAGGCGGAGTCTGCCCTCAGACATCGGGCGAGGCGGAGCCAGCCATCGGACATCGGGCGAGGGGGAGCCAGCCCTCAGACGTCGAGCGAGATGGAGCTAACCCCCGAACGTCGGGCTAGGCAGAGCCAACCCCTAGACGTCGGGCAAGGCGGAGCCAGCTCTCGGGGTCGGGCGAGACGAAGTCTACCTTTAGACGTCGGGAGAGGCGGAGCCAGCCCTCGGGAGTCATCTTGAGGCGGGGCCCATGGTCTTGGTGGATGGACGAGGAGTGACCCGGCAAGCGGTGTAGTTGTGCTCTCGATCGCGCGGATGAATCAATGTTGACGGTCATTAGCTCCTCCTCTTCAGGTACCCTAATATTTGTCCTCGACAGGAAACAAGATTATTATACCCTTATTTAGTGCCATATATGATTTTAATAGTCTATTTATTAGTTTGTAAGTAGGGATTGGTTTGGATCTAGAACTAGTCATTGGGATTATATTTTTTTGTTGTCAACATTCATATTTTTTAATAAACGGGGATTAAGCTTACATATGTACAATAATGAGTAAAATGTTAATTGATGCTAATTATTTTCTTTAAAATTGTTTACTACAATTAAGAAAGTGCAAAATATTTGCTTAGTGGCACATAGGTTGGATAGTTAGGTTGTTTATTTTCTTTCCCTTATATGGTGGTGGTTGAGGCACTACTACATAAATCATTTTTAGAGGCGGGTAAACTGGGTTTTCAGGGGCGGTTTACGCAACCGCTACAATGCCACCGATTGTAAACAGGTGGCGTCTCTAGCGACGAGCTTTTAACCGCCGCTGAAAATGCATTTCTATGGGCGGTTCTGTTAGGATCTCTACCTCTGAAAATGTATTTTTAGGGGCGGTTCCACGTCTCTGAAAATGTATTTTCAGGGGCGGTTGCAATAGGCAAACCGCCTCTAAAAATTCTTTTTCAGAGGTAGTTCTAATACATGAACCACCCCTAAAAATGCAGTACCAGGGGCGGCTGCTACAATGCAACCGTCCCTGAAAATGTTTTTTCAAGGATGGTTGTGGCAATGCAACCGCCTCTGAAAATATATTTTTAGGGACGGTGTTATCAACCGCCTCTGAAAATCAGTTTTAAATTTTTGAATTTGAAATTTCCCGCCAAATTTAAAATCGCGTTTTCCCACTAAATTTCATACCCGATTGCAAATGATTCAAATTAACTTCATAAATACACAGTAGTGCACTAGTTATACACACATGATCAACAAAGTATTTGTACATTACAAATTACAAGTGAACATTAATTGTGCTCTTGCCCAAAGAATGAAAAGAAGGGATACAAGCATTTTAGGCGAAGGGACTTAAACTTGGGATGTGTTGCATACTCCTGAGTCATGATCATAGAATAAGCCCTTTGGATTAAGAACCTCCCGCACCATGAACTTGCAGAAATCTTCTTGAACAAGTTGAACATCGCTTTGGGTAATTACTTTGTTTGGCCTCGTTACTTGATGCTACACAAAAAAGGGAATAAATTAGCTAGATTCATATTAATGAACATATGCATATGCTATGGTTCGATAGAGCAACTTATGTCTTTAGAGTTATTGTGGTAAGTCCCGTTGGATCTCATCTATTGACATACATAGTAGCCATAAAGCACGCTTCCGGTAGGCTGCCTCGAGCACTGCAGGTCGGTGACATGCACAAAAAAATACAGTGAAACACATAGTTCTATATAAGGAATATGAGAAGCTATTGAGTTAGAAAATGGTCGTACCCATTGATTTACACAAACATCCATCTTCTTCTTCGCTAGGTCATGCACCTCACCTTTTTAACGTACCATTTGTACACGCTTTTTAAGGAACAAAATAATCACTTTCACTATAACGATAATCGGATGAAAAATAGTGTCACATGTAATGAACTACAATTACTTATGTTTGTAACACGTTAATAAAATTTTGGTACATTTTTCTATCTTTTCTCATAGAGTCAAAGATGGAAATCCTACCAACTCTCAAATTGATGCTTGCTAAGATGAAGTGATCACAGCATCAGTACAAAAAAGATAATAGTGTCAATGTAAACCATCTACCAAATAGCATGAAAAAAAGATAGTAGTCGATCTTACCCGAAATTGTACAGGGCTTCAATATATTGGAATCTCTGATGAGCTATGAACGCCTTCCCGATATATAATGCAGCTTCATTCCTTACTTCCCTGTACGAAGCCTTCCTAATTGCCTCTCTCGCCTTGCCCTTGGCACCCTTAAATGCAGGATAATCATTTTGCCACAACAGAGGTCCAGTGTGACGTGCCTCGCAAATGAGATTTGGATCAAGGTATGCGTTCCTCAAGTTCAACTTGGCCGAATCCATCCACTCTTTCCTACATCAACGTAAGGCAAATGTGTGGTTAAAAGGATAGCACAAGCACATAAAACCAAATTTGAGGATGAGTTTAAGAAAACACTACTTTCATACACCACAGGTAATCTGACTTATATCGAGTCTCTTCTATCGGTATAAAAACCTCGTAGTTGTCCATGAAACCCTTTCTTACCAAATGTGATCTTATCGTATTTGGATCTCGGCATACTATACGGTTCCGACAGTCAACACAGGGACAATATATATCCTTTGTCTGCTTAATCAAAGCGTGTCTTTTAGCTGCTTCAATAAAACCATTCACATCTTGTATGTAGGAAGCTTCATGTCTTCTTTTCGTGTACATCCATGACCTATCCATATGTGCCCTTAAAAAATAAAAGATATATTTGCATGAAGGTATTATTCGCATATAAATGTTGAAGCAATTTATGTCTATTTTTCTATACAAATATTACATTATTCTAGACCTAAAGCTTAAAAATGATAAAGTAAATATAAAAATTAACTAGAGTTCATGTGAGCCAAAGTAAGTTGGGCAAAATTAGTCTAAATTGCTTGGAAAAATAAAAAAATCTAACATCATGCATGTCTCTCTTTAGATCTCTAAGTGAAAGAAATAAACATGAAAAGTTTGAAAAGAGTTTAGGTATGCCACTATCTCATCTCTCAAACTCAACTCCTTCGAAGGTTCAAAGGGCAAAACCTCCCCCCTCAATTTTTGCTTTTTCTCGCCCTCCAAGTGAGTTAATGGTACTCAGTATGCATACTATTCCGAGGAGGAAGAAGGGGTAATTAGGGGGGCATTTTTAGGAGCGGTTGACTAAAGAGAACCACCTCTGTTAATGCATTTGTAGGGGAGGTTCTCTTAACGAACCGTCTTTGAAAATAGATCACTTTTAGAAACGGTTTTGTAAAGAGGACCGCCTCTGAAGATCCATTTTTAGGGGCGATTCTCTTAACGTAACCGCCCCTGAAGATAGACGTCTATCAGATGCGGTTTTCTTAATAGAACCGCCCCTGAAGAAGTATCTTCAGAGGCGGTCATGGAGCTACAGTGCTCACCGACGAGGTTAGAGGCGACGTGCTAGTTGAACCGCCTCTGATAGAAAAGGGTGGCGTTGCTAAAAATGATTCATGTAGTAGTGAGTCATCATTTACAAATGAGATCAAAACTACATATTTATTTTTATAATTAAGAATCTGGATTACATGAACGATACATAGTACTTATATGTGTTTTTTTGGAAAACAACATGATTAATGTAACGACCCAGAGTCTAGACGGCTCAGATCCACTCTGCATGTTGAGTGAACCGCAGCTACCACTAGCCCACTTCTGCTCTCATCCTTGCTTCCACTTAAAAGGATTAACCCATGGATGGTGGGATGGCCTCCAAAAGCCTTATATGTTAGTCAATTTTATTTACAATTGAAATAAGAATGACCTTCCACTATTATGTTGTTATATATATAATTATATTCTTCCTGATTAGTATTGATTGCTAAATCTCAATTAATCCTTTTTTCATTGTTCATTTATGTCGGAAAAGATGGACTACAATAACTCATGGATGCATGGTTCATTAAGGTGGAAGCCAGGTTTCCGATAATAAGTGGATATATTTATTAAAGCCGCAAAGAAGCAAGCAATGATGACCGAGAACAAAATCAAAATTCCTTGTCTGTGCAGCAATTGCAAGAACCATCTCTCATGAAAAGATGTGACAATCATCAGATCACACTTTGATTGTGCGAGATTTTGTATGGACTACACAGTTTGGATTCAACATGGAGAAACGCTCGTTAACGTTGAGCCACAAGAATAAAATATCGAAGACCACTCTTACATCGACTGATCTGAAGATGAGCTTGATGTAGAAATTATATCTTTACACGGAATAATAATGCAATTAAATTTTCTAAAATCTGGCTTAATCTTAGAAAATTTGTTTTACCTTGAAAAATATATATATTTTGAAATCATACTGTATCTTATGGTGGGAAGCTTCAGATTGTTTGAATCTTAATGGACTTATTTTGGTGTTTATTTGCTAGTAGAATCTCTCGTTATCTATTATAATTAGTATATGTTGACGTTACCTCAGCAAAACCATCTAATAAAATGTAAAAAAATATAAACGGTTTTAAAATTGCAGGGGTAATAAAAATACTGATTTTATAGTTCGAGAAGGCGCATCCCAGGTCGGCCCACAAGGCCCAATTAGGCTACGCCTGCGCAGGCGCACACCCGTTCTAACGACTGTGGGCCGTGACCCTCCCGACGCCTCACGGTCACGGACACAGCCCCAATTCCCCAATCCTTCCTTAGCCGGCTAACCCTAGTCCCCACTACCCGGCCGGCGGCAAGTCTCCTGGCAAGGCGGCCGCCTGTCGGGACTGATTTACTCTATAAATGGGGTCGGAAAAGGAAGGAGGTATGGCGGCGGCAGCGGCAGCGGCAGCAACTTCTCGTGACACCAGTCGCAACGTCACCAGCCGCGTGCAGCTCGAGCCGCCGCGGCCCGATTCAGTGCCGTCAGTTCTACGGACCGGTTCAGTGATTTTGGTGAGCACATTGTGTAAAGTGTATTTCTTTTCCATTCCGTCGATTGTGGAAAGTACTTTTTTTCATGCTGTCAATAGAAGCAGAGCAAGCGGAGGAAGAAAAGCGAGGATTGCGTTATGGTGGAGAACCTGAAGAAAAGCACAAGGAGCAGGCGGTTCAGCATTCACGAACATGAAGGCTCGCATGAACCGGCACCGGCGGTGGCGGCGACGCCAGACGTGCGTGCTAGGACGAGGACCGCAGTGGCGAACGTGACGGTGGGTGATGCCGACGCGCTGGAGTGCGGCGTCTGCTTCCTCGCGCTCAGGCCTCCCATCTTCCAGGTACACGCTCACATTTCTATTTTTCGTGTTCGAATCAGTAAACATATGCATATCGAGTATTGCTTGAGAGTTGAAACAAGTTCGCCGGAAAACGCAGTGCGAGTTGGGGCACGTGGTGTGCTCGACCTGTCGCGACAAGCTGGAGGCCACCGGGAACGGCGTGTGCCATGTCTGCGGCGTCGCCACGCGCGGCTACCGCCGGTGCCACGCCATGGAGCACCTCGTGGACTGCATCCGCGTCCCATGCCCGTACGCGGCTTACGGCTGCGACGCTACGCCTCCCTATCACGGCGAGGAAAGCCACCGCCAGGTGTGCCCGCATGCGCCGTGTCACTGTCCCGGCGAGTCGTGCGGATTCATTGGCTCCATAGCCGCTCTCCTCGACCACTTCGCCGGTGCACACGACTGGCCGTACACCACCAAGGTCAGGGCCAGGGCGACGTCATTCAGCGTCCGCCTGCGTGTAGGATTCAACGTCTTCGTCCTCGCGAACCATGGCGGCGATGACAACGGTGACCAAGCGGGGGCCACATCCCGCAGCGTCCCGTTCCTGTTCCTTCTGAACGTGACGCAGGAACGGCTCGGCCATGCCATCTCCGTGCTCTGCATCCGTCCTCGTCATGCCACAGCCACAGCTCCTGCCATTGCCACCGGTGTTGATCGGCCGGTGTCGAGACGCCGGGAGCTTGTGCCGTAGGCACTCCCAGTCGTCGGAGTTCAATGTAGTGTGCACGGACCTCTCCAATGTAGTGTGCCCAGCCCTGACGGCTACTTCCAGTTCATTGTGCCCAATGCCGTTCTTCGAGAAGAAGATGAGGATTATATCGAGGTCAAAGTCCGTATCAGCATTAACTAGATCGAACCACTTTATCACCCTGTTCGTTGGCTGGTGCTGGTTTGGGCTGGCTGGTGTTGGTTTTTTTTTTGAGAAAAACACTATTGCCTGATTGAATAAGCCAGCTGAAACCAACGAGCTAACAGAGTGTATGTGTGCACGCAAGGATTGATTGATCTCAAACCAGTTGTAACGTGGACAAGGCTTGCTTTTCAGTCAGTCCTCTAATTGCTTGCGGCAGGCCTGCTTTTGGATAATTTGGATTACTCTTTTAACATTTTCGTATTTGCTCACTTTGGGACTATTTCGTTGGATGACGACCAAACATTAAACCATCCAGAACTTGATGTCAAATTCTTGCAACTTCCATACCTTGATGCTGTTAGTGTGCTTTAATTACTCCTGCATTATATTGTTTCTCTTTCCTGAGTTATATTTGTGTATGTTCTTCATCAGTAAACCATGATCCTAAATAGGACCACCAATAGAAGGCTATGAATTTAATTTCATACATGCTTTGGCCTTTTTATACGATGAGCTATGTAAATATTTCGTATTGTTTACAACTAATTCGACATCCATGACCTAGGGTCATTCTTAACTCTTCGCCGTAGTTCACTTTGAAACATCTTAAGAAAAAGTAGAGAGTAACAACATGGCGCTATGTACTTCGTGGAAAAAGTAGTGTGTTTTATTAAAAGCTCACCTTCCTCATTATTAACGGATAGGCTAGCGCCCGGATGTCTAGACGGGTGCCAATGTTCGGACGCATGTGCCTGCTGTGCGCCCATGCATAAGATTCGTTTCCCGCGCACGCGTCCGTTGGCCCTAGCACAACCCCTCCGCAAGCCCCGGCGCGGTGCGCACCCTGTCTGCCGGACCCTGGCTCTCCGCGCCCCCATCCCCCGACGCTAGGGCCAAGCCCCCATCACTCACCGCGCCCTTTTGACTCCGAACATACCCTTGAAATAAGAAATACTTGCGACATGAAATACTTCAATGCAACATACGCCAGAAACAGATAAACATTTGGAACATACACTTGCACATATGTGTGAAACATATACAACATCCATATAAAACACTTGCAATATATGTCTGAAATAGATGAAATATTTTTATATAAGTGTTGCAGCATATGCAACATCTAGATGTATTTTTGCAACATCTAGATAAACAAGTTGAAACATTTGTCTAAAATAGTTGAAACACCTAGAATATACACTTGCAACATGCGATTGCAAACACAATGTCACCTTGCTGCTTGGGCCGGTGGATACTCGACATTGTGGAGTTCAACGTCGGCATGGTGGCAAGTGGCGGCGCGGAGCTCGATGATGCGGCAGCGACACGGTTAACTTGCTGGCGGGGTAGTGTCAGACGAAGCACCTCCCCTCGCCTACATGCTAGAGCGTACGTCATGTAGGCTCGTCGGCTTGGTGGCGCATGCATGGAGCTCGACGGCGCACTGATGGCTGGTAGCGTGCTCAAAGCTCGCCGGCACGACTGTCGCAACCTCTACCCCTTAGTTTAGTTCCGCATCGAAGTCATCGACGACAGGCTCAGAATATAACACCCAGTGTTAAAGCATTGCATTTGGCACTTGCATTTCATGGGCACAAGCAGCATCAACATTCATGAACATGAGCATATGAAATTTCATCTCATTCTTATACCTTATCACATGAAATGTTGATTTTATATATATGCTTATGCTTGTAATCATATGTGATCAATGTATGAAATGGTTGTGAGGTCATGAAAACACCTTAGACACATCTAGAATGATAATTGGAACAATGTTTATATTCATGACATAGACCAAATTTGCTTCTAAGTGTTGGTTTCATTTAAAATGCTATTTTCATGGTACTAGTTTGACTAAAGTTGAACAGTAGCTTAGAGTGTTTGCATAGCTGTGTGATCTAAATAAAAGTTGTAGTTCATGTCATGTAGAACAAACTTTGTTTAAGGGTCATGAGCCAATTCAGTTCCTAAGTTAGTCAAATAGAGCTCACAAAATTCAACTTGTTGCTGTTTCGGGACTTAGAAAATTTTCTGTCTTAAACGGTTCATAGTTTCCGTGTAGCCATCTTTGGTGATTTTTAGTTTGCAAACCATTGGGAATTAGGCAAAACTCCTTTAGGCCCCATTCGTTTCATAGGGAATGGCTACGTGAAATATTCGGTCGGGATTGGTAGTCAATTTATACAAGGTTTTATTACCTAGAATGATTCCTAGCCACATTCACCTCTAACCGAACGGGTCCTTAAACATTTTTGTAGTACTCATGTAGCTCTACAAAGTGGTGAAGACGGTTTGCCAAAATTCACCACGGTTTGAGAGATTTGGAGGTTTGAAAATCGACTATCGAATTTGGATCAATCAGCCCTCACCGATTCAAATCACCGCAAGTCGTGTGGTCGTCGACGCAAGCATAAACGCCAAGCCGCCGCCTTTGGCTGCTTTCCGCCGACGCCAGGCATGCCAAAAAGGAGAGCACCGGCTCTCCATGCACCCACGCTCCTCACTCTCTCTCGCTTTTTTCTCGCCCACAAGACCGCTTCCAGAGCGAACGACACAAAGAAGAAGTCGCCGTGACACCTCCATCAGCAACGCTTGCTGTCCATGTAGCCCCGCTGCTCAATCCCTCGCACCCAAAGCTCCACCGTGCCTTGCTCCACCTCGCCGACCCACCATTGCCAACTCCCATGCCAAGGTAAAGGCCTATGGGCTGTTGCAATCGCCGCCATGGCCACGGAGCGCCGTCGAGCTCCGAGCTCACCATGGCTAGCCTTATCCACCGCTCCTTCTACCTCTTTCTCCCTGGTTCCGTCATCGCCTTAGGTCATAGATGCCCATGTCGTCGTTTATTTAACCGCTACCATCACCGTCACGAGGGAACGCGCGACGCCACCGTGCGCGTCCGCCATGGCTGCAAGCACGCGCTCGCCTCCACCAACTTCATTGGTCGCCCTTAGCCCGCTTTGGTACCCGTTACCATGTCACCTAGAGGTGTAGCACCTTCCTCGATGGAGACCTACCTTCGGCCACCATCTCGTCGGAACGGTGACACTACCGTCGTGCTCTGTGCGCCGCCGTGCCGCCATGCACGTGGTCGGAGCTCACCGCCACTTCACCGTAGCTCGATCCGCACCGTAGAGCTCCGCTAGGGTTCGTAGAAGTCGTAGCCATGCTTGTTTGGTAACATATTCGCTGGAGACGGTGAGTCCACCGCCGCGCGCCATCGCCGAGCCGCCATGCTCGCCGACGAGGTTGCTCCGGTGATCCGCCAGGCCAATCGACGGTACTTGTAGGTGCATAATAGAATGGTGAACACGTTGGTGCTGACCTCGCCGTCGGTGAGCTTTTCGTCGATCAAGCCGTGCCCCTGCTCTGTGTGTCGCTGACATGTGGGTCCCATTGACCCGTGGGTCCCAGCTGTCAGTCAGTATTTGAAATGTTTTTCTTTATTTATTTTCATAGATTTGAATGCAAACTTCAAAAATTCATATCTAGAGCTAGGAGTATCCAAATGAGGTGAACCAAATTTTGTTAGATTCATCTTGAAGTGTACTATTTGATAAAAATATAAAATATACTATTTAGGATATTTTTCTAGGAGAATTAAATTAAGCAAGATAAGTGCTTTAAAAATAGTTTCTAGCTTGTAAATTGCATAACTTTAGCTAGGAAGGTGAAAAAATTATGATCCCAATTTTGTTGTTCTTGTGTTGACGTGCTCTAGCTAGAAAAAATATTAAACCTATAGTAAACATACATTTAATATTGTCTTTCTATTTAATCTTAATTAATTGCTAGATTCTAGTGAAATTAATTGGGCTAAAAATACATAACATATGATCATACAAATTTTTACACAGTATTCTAATGCTAGGAGAAAAGTAAGAAAAATATTAAATCTATTGCTTGACACTTTTTACTATGCTAAACTATTTTTTGCTAAAATAAGCATATGTAACTTGTTATTTTTGTAGAGGTAGCTATACTTATCCAAATGACATGAAATTTGTATAGTGGACTATTAACGTCATTTGTATGCTATTATAATTTTCTTAGAATTTATAAATTGCTAGAAATATTTATCCTTTAAATCACCTCATTATATAAAGAAATTTATAAATGAATATAAATAAATTAGTTATGTTTAACCATGATGTTTTCTGTGGTGCTTGTGATGCATATGATCTGTGATGTTATTAGTTAGTCTTAGAAGTAATTAGTTGTATGCAACTCGTTAATTATTGCTTTATAATTCAACTAGATAGCTGCATATATAGTTTCTGTTGTGATGATAATTTTATGATGACAATGGTCTTTTCTGTAAAACTTATTAGTAACAAAGTTGTATATAACTTACTTATCTACCTGGTATTAAATTTTCATAGTCATAGATTTTATGGTTTAAGAATTATGGTTGTTAGAAGTCTGCTGTCAGAAATGCTTGCTCTCTGGATAGATCTGAAAGATTGAATTGTTTGACCTAGATAAATACTGAATCACCTTAAGATAATTTAAATAAAGTTGTAGGCAATTTCATAATCTTTTTAGAAAGTCCACAACCATATTATTTTGATATGTATAACTTTAGTTATGATCAAAACAAGTGGCTGTTGTCTTGTAGTCCAGAAAATGATTTACATCAGTGTTTGTTTAAGTTACTAGAGAAGAGATATGTACCTACTCAGTAAAAAAATGTAACTTGTTATCACCTTAATGTGATGCTGCTGAGAACACTTTTGAGGATGCATTCATCACATCATATCATATTATATATGTCATTATATATGCATCCATGGTATCTTATTTCCTGCTCATGCATATAGGATCGTCTGAGGGGA